GGCGATTTAATTTTCCTTCCAAGCAATTCCTCAACCCGGCGATAACTCCTCGACCCCTTCCCTCTCCCCTTCGCTCCTCTCGCCTCTCTTCTCGCCCTTCCTCTCTCGCACCCCAAGCAAATCTCCAGTCCCCAAGCGCCCCTATTCTCACCTGACGGCCTTCTCACAGCTCCCTCGAAGAATAAACATTGGCAGTCATTATGAGATCGGCCATTGAGACGCAGGACAAGGAGGACAAGGGCCATTCGCCACGCTGGTCGGAGCCTCGGCGCCGGTCGGAAGGGCGAGGATCATTGACGTTCAAGGAGGTCGGTCACCCTTAACCGCAGCTGCTGTTGTGCGAGAGGAATGTCCTTCTCGCGCCCACATTAGTCCGGTATTGTTACCCTCTCTCTCTGTCTGTCTGTCTGTCTGTCTCTCTGTCTCTCTCTCTCTCTGTCTCTCGCTCTCGCTCTCGCTCTCCTCTCTCTCTCTCTCTCTCTCTCTCTCTCTCTCTCTCTCTCTCTCTCTCTCTCTCTCTCTCTCTCTCTCTCTCTCTCTCTCTATCTATCTATCTATCTATCTATCTATCTCTCTTCTCTTCTCTCTCTCTCTCTCTCTCTCTCTCTCTCTCTCTCTCGCTCTCTCTCTCCTCTCTCTCTCTCTCTCTCTCTCTCTCTCTCTCTCTCTCTCTCTCTCTCTCTCTCTCTCTCTCTCTTCTCTCTCTCTCTCTCTCTCTCTCTCTCTCTCCTCTCGCTCTCGCTCTCGCTCTCTCTCTCTCTCTCTCTTCTCTCTCTCTCTCTCTCTCTCTCTCTCTCTCTCTCTCTCGCTCTCTCTCGCTCTCTCTCTCTCTCTCTCTCTCTCTCTCTCTCTCTCTCTCTCTTCTCTCTCTCTCGCTCTCGCTCTCTCTCTCTCTCTCTCTCTCTCTCTCTCTCTCTCTCCTCCTTCCCCTTTCTCGTATACTAGGGGAGGGGGAGGGGAAGGGAAGGAGGGACAAGAACAATCTAACCCAGGAACCAAGGAATGGCCAGAATGCACGTGTCCCGCTGCGGGAATTTCGCCCCTACGGCGGAGGGAAAGGGAGCGAGGTGAGCATTGTCCCTCCCGGCTGCGACTGTCAGCCCGCGTCAGCGGCTGTCAGCCCCACCCGCCGACCACGTCAGCGCCCTTTGATACCCCATTGAGGACGGCCGCGGCGCTAATGGCGCGGAAACATTAATTGATTATCAAATGACGAGTTAATTAGTGAAAGGAATGCGGGCATCTGCTCCGCGGGCGAGGCTGGGCGGGCGAGCGGCGGGGATGGCGCGGGAGGTGAGGGGGCGCTTGGCATGGCGCGCTAAGGGCCGGGTTTCTTGTCCAAGTTCTTATACGAACACGCGCATGTGCGTGCGCAAGCATAAGTACAAGCACACTTGCACACACACACACACACACACACACACACACACACACACACACACACACACACACACACACACACACACACACACACACACACACACACACACACACACACACACACATATATATATATATATATTATATATATATATATATATATATATATACGTATGTATGTGTGTATGTGTGTGTATGTATATGCATATGTGTTTGTGTTGTGTTGTGTGTGTGTGTGTTTATATATGTGTGCGTGAATGTGAAGTATTATATATATATATATAGTATATAATATATATATATATATATATATATATATATAATACATATATATACGTATGTAAATATATATATATATATATATATATAATATATATATATATATATATATATATATATATATATATATATATATATATATATTATATGTATATGTATATGTAATGTATATAATATGTATATATATATATGTATATATATGTATATATATATATATATATATATATATATATATATATATATATATATATATATATATATATATATATATATATAATATAAATATAATATATATATTATATATATATATATATATATTATATATATATATATATTATATATATATATTATATACATATATATATATATATTATATTATATATATATATATATGTATGTATGTAGTTTACATATATTTACATATATAATATATATAATGTATATATTATATATATATATATATATATATATATATATATATATATATATATATATATATATATATATATATATATATATACGTACATATATAAAAGGTATATATTTAAGTTTTCTGTAAGACTTCTGAAATCTTGTATATATCGAATAGCTAATCTTATAAGAACTAACTATGTTCGAATTCAGAAAACCGCCAAAAAATATAAAACATTATTATTATTATTATCATTAATGTTACTGTTGATATTGTCATCATTATTACTATTATTATCATCAATATTATCATCATCAATTATCATTAAATGTGTACGCCAACCCTAACTCTCTTCAATAACTTCTAAAGTTATTACGGCTTCATCCATGCAAACCCATTGATGGTTATATCACAACACTCAAACAGGTAGAATCGTTAACATTTACGTTGTTATTTCACCTAAATACATTTCTGTGGGTCGACGAGAGTACCGGAATTTACATTAAAAAATACAAATGACGGTGGTTTAGTTAAAACAGTAACACAAAGGAAAAGAATGGCCCCATTTTCATAATAATAATAAAAAAACATTAATAACCTTTCTTATCAGAATTTACATTGAAAATACAAATGACGATGGTTTAGTTAAAACAATAACACTAAGAAAAAAATGACTCCATTCTCATAATAATAAAAAAAAACATTAATAACCTTTCTTATCACCAAACAAACCCACGTGTTATATTCCCCTTTAATTAAGAGAGATACAACAGGATTTTAGGAATACAAATTAACGATAAGATACAAGTGAATTAACTCGTGCTGACAGACTTGTAAGCTAATCGGCTCTTTAAGACGTATTCTGGTTATAATTAATAAGCAAAAGGAAATAGAGGATTAGAAGACTGATTCCCTTGATATATGAATATCTTTTTATTGATTATTTTGATTTTTTAACGAACTAGTCAATCTGGAAATCGCTGTTAATTACCTATTATATGTATCTGTTTTCTACCCATTGGATTTTTTTTTTTTTTTTTCGTTCTTCAGAGAGACCCGCTTATCTGTGTCGTTTATGATGCCAATGTTAATATTTAACTTTGAATTCTTGATATAATATAAGCAATTTCTTACGTTTTCTATTTACAGTAGTTGTTAACAGAAAACGAATGGTTTTACGGGTATACTATGGTATTTTGGTTTTAATCGCCAACGGGAAGGTGTCATGTTCACTTTGGTATTATTTTGAGAAATATATCTACACATAAATGGCTCTACAAATAATCCGTCATAAAGGTATCTATTAGTAGTCCCCGTATCCATACCTGATTTTCCATTTCATTGAGTTGTCGGGACTTTTTTTAATGCTAAATATCCATGGTTGTTATTACTGACATTAGAATTGTTATCAACAACAGTAATAGCAATATATAATAAAACAAAACATTCCTAAAAGTCAAGGAAAAGGGTAAAAGAGATAGGTCAGGGCAGTGGTTGCCACACTGGTGATAAAGCACTAAGTAATGCCATCTGGGTAAATAAAAATGAAGCTGTGGGCGTAACACGTGCATACAGGCCATCTCAGGCATCATCGGGGTAAATAGGATTAATAGCCCAAACCTGAAAAGTGTTTCATGATTCTTCTCCATTGTAATGAGTATTTTGAATGCCTATATAAATTTTTAATATAATGGGCAATGTTTGGATCAAATAAATGTAAATGCATCTCCCGGTACGCATTAAAAAAATCAACAAATAAAAACTAAATAATACAGTCCTAATACTCAACTGGACTTACCTATGTAGCTGAACAATGCAGAATAATAAAGCAAACTCTTTTTTATTTGAATTGCCACTTCCAAATAAGGTTTGAAGAGGATGAGGATGATGATAATGGAAAAAAAGAAAACAAATGAAAGAAAGAAAGAAGAAAAAAAGGTGAACTACCCTAGTCCAATGGTTAATGGATAAAAAAGCAAAATGAATGAGCTAACCATAAATCTCATAATACAAAGGATATTCTTATTAAGATCATGACTCGTCTATTCATGTATATATAATAATCAGGAATGAATAAAATACACATATCATTTATTAAAGTATCTGTATTTCATATAAAACACAGCCAGAGATTGACATTTTGTATCAATTCATTGTACAAAGAGTATTTTCTGCAAACATGGGATGACATTCTTATGGCAAAAAATATGGAGTCTGTTACAAATAAATCAGTCACATTACTGATTAGAAGTTATAAATATAAAATTAAGTGAAGAACAATGTACTTAACTCAAGATATGTAAAGTAATTTCATCACTGTAAAACAACAAACTTCTTCAGTATTCTCAGTAAATTAAAACAAGCAGATTTACAATATAGAAATTCAGACACATTTTTCTGAATAAATATTTCAAAATAATAACATAAAAAATGTTTGACCATTAACATAATGACTTCAAAGGGCGCTCCGACGGAATCATTGCCTTTTAATCCTCAAAGTTTTTTCAGGATCAGAAGTTTTGGCAACGATATCCTTTTTAAATGATGCCATGCAACTTTGAAGACATACCATGAGCTTGAAAGGAACTAATCAACCATTTCTGCACCTCCAGGAACAAGCTGAAAAGAAGAGAGGCAAACATTAACACAGTATAAAATGGTTATTGGTTAATATTCAAAATAAATGTGCTAGACATATAAGGTCATATACACAGTATAGAAGAAACAAAAAATATAGAAAAAAGGTCTTTAAATTCAGATAACCTTCCCTCATTCCCCTAAATACAGGACAGACACAAGTTAATGCTCATTGTAATAATGCAAAAATTACAAGAGGAAATTTGATCTAAGAACCATGCAAAAGGTCCAACTTAAAAATCTAGTGTTAACTTAAGCTTCTCATTTACAAATACAAGAAATCAAAATGCATTAAAACCTCTCTATTCAAATGACTTTCCCTTTGAACAATCCAGTAATTGAACTCACTAGTACAATTTGACTTACATTTCTGAATAATGTTCGAATTACAAAGTAAATAAAAGAAATTAGTCATTTTTTCCACAGGCCTTCTTGCTTTATTTTTCTACGGAAGAATTGTGATCATGAGGAAGGGTGAAAAAAATTGTCAAAATGAAAACTAGCCAGAACCAGGTAAATGTTAATCAACTGCATGGAACCATTATCTTTTTGGTCTTTAGGGATAAATTTAGGCATGGAATTATTATCATGTGCATTTCAGTCTGCTTTTTTCACTTGCAACAGTTTATATATTTTTGTGGGAAACTGGAACAATTATGCCAGTTTCAACCAATTCTTATGGGACAAAATTGATTTAATATTCAAACAATTTGATACAATATAATATACTTCTGCCATAAAAATAAAAATTGGATGTTTTTACAGATCCTCCAAAGAAAAGAAACTCATTATCTTTTTTTAACTTGAAATCCTTCATACATCACATTAATTGCTCATTGCTGATTCTCATAAAAAAGAGATCACTACACCAAATAGGCACATTCACAGAAGCCCCATTTCCATGCCTCTAAACTACTATACCCTCAATCAGCATAAATCAAAAGGATGGTCCGACCCCTAGTTAATAACAATGGATACAACAGAATGCCAAAGATACAGCAAGTTAATAAAAAGGGGTATAAGGGAACATTAAATCACAACTGTAATTTAACATCTGGGAAAATAAACCAAAGAAATACACCTGATGTTTTATCCTCACCTAATTGGCATACGGGCCAGTGTATAGTAATAATTCATGCTTTCTGATTCAGACCATCAAATTTAAACCAAAACTAAAGCTGCTTTCCTCAAATACATACAAAGCTAACTCTAGAAATATATTCTCATCTCCAATTCCAATTTCTGTCTCACTACACTTGAAATTCCAAGCTGTAGCAACATGGGGGTTATTATTAAAATAACTCTCATACTAATGCCAAGGAAAAATATCAGATAAAGCATCAGCACCAATCTTTGGGCAATAATGAGGCAAACACACCTAGACATTTAAACAAATCTGCTTTCTATACCCCAACTTTCACTCCATGGCAGATTCAAGGTACATACATCAGTGAAACAACTATGATTACTTAAGTCCAATCATTCTTTCCTTATGGGTGTTATTTTCCAGAGCTCCAATTTCAACTTGCCGCATTAAACCATTCTAGACTCGTTAATTTGAAAAAAATACTAATGGCGACTGGTATGGGTAGATTGAGAGAGGTGTAGGGTGTAAAGATAACTAGGAAGATGGCAGTGGTGTAGGGTAAAATAAGTTCATTATATTTTCTAATTGTCTCTCATCTTACTGATAAGCTGATATTGTACATACTGGGGCAAAAAAATTGCAACTTGCCTTATCCACTTATATACTTTTATTGCACATATCTTTTGTTGGGTAACTGGGTAACTAGCACAAATAGAGATGAAAGTTATTAAGACAGGTAGCAAAGGAGAGAGAGAGACTGAGTTCTTGGCCTTGCCAAAGGTAATTTTGTCACCTAACACACAAGCCAGCATATTCCTATGCAAGTATCCATCACTCATTGATTGTTTTCATCAACAAAGTCAGACATCTTTATGATGATGGAGTTTATTTATTCACTATGCATTAGTATGTTTTCATTACATCACTCTGGGATAATCATATATATATATATCAGGACATTCATAATGCACTTTGTACTGTCCAGGACAACAGCTCTATTCATATTATCTGTATTGTCACATAGTGGTTTAGACAGCCTGAAATTCAAGTAAAAGACTAGGCAAGTAAGGACTAAGGTAAGAACTCTATTGAAAATCTATAGGGGATTACGAAACAAAAAATTATAATTGGACTAAAATGGAACTATAACATAGATTGAACAATAATGGATGCTTTGGAATCTGTGCAATGTAGAGCCAACATTTGGCAATGCCTTGTGAAAAGTATGCTTAAACTAAGTGGGTGTGTGGCATACTCTGAACTGATAATAAGAACATCCTAAGCTATACACACAGATACACATACTATGCTATGCTTTACTGTGTAACTATGCTATAAATAAATGAACTACACTAAATGTTTCAGTAAGCACAAATAACCACTTAACATTCAGACTTGTTGAAGACTACGATTTATGCTCAAGAACTGAGAGCTGAATCAATTAGTTATAATTTGATACAAAGACATCTACCTCACTGTCATCATTTGAGTTCTACAATAAGCTGATGTGATAATGAAGCATAATCCTTGTTACTCCTGTAAACCTGCTGCCTCTCACAAGTTCTTGTTATTTCTTTCAACCCGTTATACAAATCAACCCATTGGTGATCGGGAAGGCATGGTACATACATGTCATACCTACTGTGAGTTTAATCTATGAACTGTTTACACAAAGATGGCTCTACAAGTCACATAGATGGCACTACAAGTGCTTAGTTAACAATTAATCTACTACCTGTCGTACCTAGTCTTCTTTTTATCCTTTTCCTCAATTTTTGGAAATATACAAGTATATTACTTTTTATTCCTATCATTATTGTTAATAACTTTTAAATAATCATAATGTCAATAACAACAGCAGCAGCATCAGCCCACTTCTGTTAATAACAACAGCAGCAGCATCTTGTGGAGCCACCTATGTGGAAAGACATTTCACAGAACAAAAACTAAGTGAGTGAACATCACACATTCTTGGCAGCATTGGGTTAAACATTGTATCAGATATATAGAAATGGAAAATTTTAATAAACTTTCTCAGTATATACGTAAATGATTGCTACAGTGTATAATTCACACAATTGTTGCACAATGGACGAAACTTCATCAATAATGAACTATATCCATGTTGACAAATGTAGAAAAGGTATGAATGAGACTGGATATCTTCACAATACAAGAGATGTATTTGACCGGTTTTGATTATGTCTTCGTCAGAAATACATACATGTATTTCTGACGAAGACATAATCGAAGCCGGTCAAATACATCTGTTGTATTGTGAAGATATCCAGTCTCATTCATACCTTTTCTACATTCATCAATAATAATAACCCAACCTGCTGCCAACCCCCTGACCACACTATCAAGCCCCTCCCAACCTTGTCATCTGAGATACCATAAGTAATCCTTTATGGGGGAATGTGGGTGGCTTTGGAGGCACGTGGACATCATCAGACTAGAAGGGTTAAGGATCAGTATTTTTCGGTCTCTAAAGGACAAATTTTAACAAGCTCCTCAAAGAAGAAGAAAAAGAATAAGAAAGAAAAAATCTTAGGACTAAGAAGAAACCCCTCCAAAATTGTTGACTACCAAGATAATAATAATGAAAAAGAAACTGCTTATCTACATCAAAATAATCGACCAGGACATTGATTACATTAATTGAGTTAGACCAAAATCAAAACAATATTGCAATATCTTAGATGACGATAATCTAATACGTTGAAAATAGGACTCATATGATAGATATTATGGGATACTGACTATCCTCTTTTGGAATTCAAAGTGACATAACAAAACATAGTTTTAAAATCAAATGAATAGGTTTGCACTATTACTGATCTATTCATGCAGTCTTAACATTATTAAAGAATTGCTAGATGTAAGGATTCTTTTTTTGGAAGATCAATAAAAAATATAAGCATCTTTTCCAAAAAATGAAATGTTGAAATGAGTTTCTTTTCAAAATATAACACATTCAGTTCAAACATACAGATAATTATAAGCATATACATTATAAATAACCATAGTTCTTTAGTTAAACACATCTTTAATTATTTATTTTTATTTAGACCAAATATGGATAACTTATCTATACACATTACACACACATGCATACAGAACCAAAATTAAAAATTAACACTTATATAGTAAACATCTATATCCAGCATCCCTATGAAAAACCATATCAATTCATAATTCTGAACTTCTATTTATGATCTATTTTTTTCCAAACTGCTCCTAATTTTGGAAACACATTCAAATCCACATAAACATGACCCACTTTGAAGGAAAAACTTGTAAGAAACAATCAACATATCATACAATATCTGGCGGTTCATTAAAATTGTGCGAGGCCGAACCCTATGAATGTTCATTATATGGACTTGCATATACACTGAAATATACATATATCTATAAGTAAACATATACGGGAGAAAAAGATACATAACTGTATAACTTTCTGATAGATAGACAGATAAGCATTTATTTCTGTGTATATGCATGTCCGTATATATGAATATCAATTGGGTTGGGCCTTGCACAATTTTAACAAACTGGCCGTATGTCAATCAAGTACAATATAAGAACCATTCTTAACAAGTAAACACAAGGTATAAAAGGATCAAGGGCAACAGATCTGTTCTTTCTTTCAGAATAAGAATACCATCTCTATTTCATTTGATGTATGAGTTTGGTGTGAATGAATGTAAAAGAACGAGAAAGAAAAAGTGAGGGTATATATAGTTTCTGAAGTATGAAGAAAATTATTGCACAAAAAATGTTCCTCTCCTGGTATGTGAAATGGTTACTGAGCAGAGCTGTATAGTTTTGAATAGTCACTGTGTGGTATAGCAAATTGAGAGAGGAGGAGGAGGAGGAGGAGGAGAGGAGGAGGAGGAGGAGGAGGAGGAGGAGGAGGAGAAGGGGGAGGAGGAGGAGGGGAGGAGGAGGAGGAGGAGGAGGAAGGGGAGGAGGAGGAGGAGGAGGAGAGGAGGAGGAGGAGAAGGAGGAGGAGGAGGAGGAGGAGGAGGAGGAGAGAGGAGAGGAGGAGAGGAGGAGGAGGAGAGAGGAGGAGAGGGAGAGAAGGAAGAGAAGGAGGAGGAGGACAAGACAAGAGACACAGGAGGAATTTGGAGGAGTGTATAAAATTTTGGAAAAGATGGATTACTATTTTCCGATTTCATGTTGCAGAAGAAAAGGATTAAGAAGCTGAAACAATATAATAATAATAAAAAAAAAAAAAAAAAAAAAAAAAAATATAATAATAATAATAATAATAATAATAATAATAATAATGATGATGATATCATTATCAATAATAATCAGACGCAAAGAGACTTCAAAACATCAAACAGATAAAACCTTTTGTAAGACACGAATTGAACACCAAGATCATCAATTAAGAGGATTAGCAAGCGATTTCATATATAATACAAACAAAAAGAACCAAAGAATAATAACAGGATCAAATTCCCCTGAAAAATAATGAATAAAAATAATGATGCACCCTCCCATATTGTCCTCTAAACCTTCCTGTAACACACATAGGTCGCCAACAAGTTTGACAGAGATCAAACAGTTTCAGCCATTAGAAAGCATATGTTGAGAAGTAATATACAATAATATTATACTAATGATGTTATGTCAATTGAAATTATATATACTGATCATGATCAAAAAGTCTGTAAGCATAAGAACATTCTAAACTGAACAAAAAATCTTGAAAATTCTCATTGTGCTTCAAATTATATAAAGAATTTCCAATACCAATGGCACAAGTAACATATCTCAAACTATCCAACCATTTCGTAATTAAAAATGAAAAGTGTGATTCATACCATAGTTATGTGATTCCCATTCAGGAGGATCTGGTCCAACTGTGTGATTCTTCTGCCCTCCGGCGTGCTCTCGTATTCAGTTACATCCTCCAGCACCATGTTAACAAAGTCGTCAAAGCCCAGGAGAGTTCCAACAATTTCCTTGTCGCTCTTCATGATGATGTGGATGCGTGAGCCTATGCATTTGTCCACTAACTCTGTTGGGTAAAACACACATCAGTAAAATACACATCGACACAAAGATGCACACAGATATACATGCATACATTAATAAGCCCCTATAATATGTACCAGTGAAAAGGTCAAGATTATAGCAACACACATTTAGACAAAAAAACTGGGTTTGATTTGTACAATGAGTTGTAGTTTTATCAAGTTGATGTTTAAGGATGACCAGATAGGCTAGGAGCAACCATTAACTTCTGACAGGGAAAGAAAGAAAGAAAGAAAGAAAGAAAAATTAGCTTTCACTTTCTATTGTTGCTTTTTGCATGTTTTGGTTAGAACTCTTGAATAAAAACAACATATTTACCTCACCACACACATTTAAAAAATACTGTAATGGGAAAATATTCTTTTATGGTACATATTAATAACAAATGCTTACCACTGTCCTTTGAAGCTATAAAACTCAAAATGTTAAACATGGTGCCATAATCTCATGTACTGGAACTTTGCCCAGTAAGAATGGGTATAAGGTAATACAGGTTTCAAAGACAAGTTTACCAGTGTCAGGAAACTAATAGTACTACAGCACATTGAGAAGACTGCCTTCAGGTTTTCATAAAATTTAGTAACACAGAAGTCAGGATTCTGAAACTAATCACATCTAATCATATCTTGATAAAACAATAATGTTACATATTTTAAGTACTTTAACTTGTATTACAATTGATAGAATATAGCCAATTTCTTTGCAACTGAAAAAGGATTGCATGAAATTTATTATATGGTTAACCACCCACCAATCAGTGTATTAGTGATATATACTTTTTGTCTGTGATGAACTTTTTCACTAAAAGAATCATAAACATTCTAATCCACTCTCAACTTATTTTTCCTGTTCTTATCTAGCGCATACACGCGCACACACACTCACATGCACCACACACGCACACACACACCTCTCTCTGTTAAGACTGCAGACAAGAAACAGTTTATCTACACATCAATAGTTCTAGCAATTACATGATTGCCCTTCCCTAAAAAAAGTGAAATTTAAGTTATCCTCTTCATCCTTAGTTAATTCAAATCTGCTTCAGTGCTTCTTTCATATTCTATGTTTTTTCCAAGCACATAACATCAGAACATATCCAAAACTGATTTAATAAAAATGTAAAATGTAAATGTAAAACCCAAATTGACACCACATTCAACCTGTAAAGTGAGGACCCTCAACCAAGTGTATTTGGACTCACATAGCTCAAGATAAAACACCATCACCTAATAAGCACTTTATAACATCAAGGACCTGCCTGTCCTAGACGAGCTCAACACAAAACCCACCACAGAGGAGCTAAGCAAAGGGACTGATGCCTTAACAAATGCAAAAGGACCAAGTGATGATGGATTACCAGATGAGATCGGTGGAAAGTCAGCCTTACTGGAACCACTTCACAAACTCCTATCCTTCTGCTGGATAGTAGGCAGAGTACCTCAGGGTATACACAATGCCAAGACTCCCACTGTGTATAAAAACAAGGGGGACTGCAGGGACTGTAATAACTAGTGACATATCTCCCAAATGAGCATCATTAGAAAAGTCTTTGCCCAAGTCCATGTAGATCACATCTATCCAGAATCAAAGTGTGGGTTCAGGTCTAAGAGATTCACATGGTTTTCACATATTGAAATATTGAGAACAGCAGATGCCATCATATATTGCCTTCATTGATCTTCCAAAGGTATTTGTCCTCCGGAGCTTGTGAGTTCTGTTTCTGCTGCTGAAGAAGATTGACTGCACCCAAAATTGCTCAGTTACTATCTCTTTCCATGACACCAAGTAGGCTGAGGTGAGCTTTGGTGGGAGGTCCTCAAAGCCCTTCAACTAACTGATAAAAAACCAAACCTTAATCAAATATTTCAACGGTATTTACCAATATAATAAATGTAACTGTAAAAATGGTTATGCTGGTCACAGAAACTGCCATTATAAACAATAGGGCCATGATTTCTGTGGCCTCCACACCTTGGGTGCTGTGGCAAACAACAATAACGCTCAATAAGGGGCAGTTAGACAGGTAATCATCAATTAGGTTTTCAAGTTCTATCTTGCCAAAATACATGCTTGCCTGTCTCAGAAAGCTAACAGGTCCAGGGAGACTTTTCGCCTCTATACCTGTTAGTGTTATGACAAAGATTAATAAACCTCCACCACATATAACTAGATACATTCTGGTGAGAGGGTTAACAATGATAACTTACCTACATTAAATAATGCACAAGCATATACATAGGTGATTTCAAGGTAATTCCTTAGAGTACAGAACCACACACAAGAGACATTCTGCCTAGAATTGTGCGAGGCCCGACCCATAGAATATTCGTACTATTGACATGCATAAATAAAGAAATAAATGCATATTCATCAGGCTAGACATATATATCAACCAGGCAAAATATAGTTAAACATATATCTATCAGATATATAGACAGCTATGCTTTTATTTCTTGGTCTGTATATATGAAAATTCATTGGGTTGGCCTGGCACACTTTTAACAAACCGGCCATATGTTCCCATCTAAGATGCCATAACTGGGCTATTCCCTTAGGCTCAGCTCCACAACACTCCCCCAGCAAACAATGTCTTCACTTTGGTATGAACAACAAAATAAGAGCTGAAACTTGGGAGCAATATGTGGACTTAGGCTGTGAGCAGAGCTTTCACCAATCTTTCTCCTTTTATCGTGGCACTACTGTTTGTATATAATGATCTGATGATTATGTCTTGTACTGACAACTGAAGCTTTTCCTCCTCTACAAGAATATCTATCCTCCTTGTGAGTCCACACAGTAAAGGTTAAGCAATTTTGTCATTAGGGGGTTAAACTGTGGTTTCATGAGAGCCACTGGAGCTTCAAACAATGGCTGTCATGACAACAGAAGTAATTCATGTAATTACTGTGCAATTTTTTCCATGTTTCATCTAAAATTCTGATATCATTGACAATGACAAGTGACTGCAGGTACATCAGAAAAGCCAAACTGGTGCCCTGCGCATGTGTGGTGAAACAAATAAGATGGCTGTATCTTGACATGAGAAGATGATAGCATTCTCAATTATAATATAATACAAGTTTCAAATATATGGTCACCAATGTCAAGACTCTAATAGTACTACAGCACTTTGAGAAGAAGACTGTGCCTTCAGGCTTTCATAAAATCTAGTAACAAAGAAGTCAGGATTTTGCAACTAATCACACAGCATCATATCTTGATAAACAATAACGTTACATATGCTAAGTCTTTAACTTGAATTACAATTGATAGAATACAACACTCTCAGTTAGGTCAGGTTAGGTCTGTACTTATTACCCGGCATATTTGTGCCGTATGCCTAACCGCGAGAAATCAGATACAGCTGTCGTATGTGTAACACTGTTCAAATATATGATGTCAGTCTGCAGAAAGCATTTATAGTAAAGATATTAAAAGTAATGGTCCAGATTGGAAACTTGATTGCAAAGCGCACGTTGGAGTTGTTGTTTAGAAACAGAAACTGCGCAGCTACAAATACAGATTTATACAAAAATGCGCAGCTGAGAAAGAATTGTTACTAGTTTCGTTGGTCCAATCAGCCATTCATTGGCTTCAATTCAAGGAATTCCCAGTCCACGGTTGGGCGTTTAAGCCTCCAATCACTAAATGGTGCGGCTGAGAGAAAAGAATTTGTCCAAATGGTGCGGCCAGAACCACGGCTAAGATATGCCGTGCACAGCAAACTTTCCAATCTGGGTAATGGCATATTTCCAGTTTCAACCTGCCTCTTTTTTTTTTTTTTTTTTTTTCTTTGGGTCTCTCTCTCTCTCTGTCAAATAACTGTAATTTTTCATTTACAACAGAAGTACATAAGAGGTCAGTTTCATGAATTAATTCACTCTGTCAATTGCATATATCATGATCAAGAAAAATACTCTACAATCTGGATACAATATAAGAGAACTTGAACTGATTCTTTAATAGAAAATAAACTGACAGACATTCAAAAGCACCATCTTGCCAGAATACTCATGCATAACTATTCTAACGTTTGTTGCCCTTTGCCAGGCATGAAGGACACAGTGACTACTTGATACTGCACCGAGAACTGCAACTAAATATCAACATGAGTAGTATTAAATTATCCGATACCACTAGAATAGGATTACTTTAGCTTTAATTGCTGTAAATATTTATGGTGACGGAGTAAAATTACAAGCAGCTTTAGGTATTTAAAAACATGGAATTGCATAATCCGGAAATGGATAATCGGCTTTTTAATAAAATTGAATAAAGTGAACTTGCAACGTTAAAGCTTCAGTGACGTGACCATAAACATGTCCTTTGCGCTGGAAAAATAACAGTTTGACAAGAACAAGAAAAGGAAATGACAACAAATCCTGTATTTTCGTTCCAAAATAAACCGAAGACGACACGAGACGCGACAAAATCCTTCATTTCTATAAATAACAATATGTTAAATATGTTTAAAATAGCGCAGCATATACCCTAGATATCAAAGCTTCTTCATAATATAGTGCCATATAAAATGTACTCGTAAAAAGAGCGAATCTTCAATTTTTTACCGAGCGGAAGAAGTGTTGAGGGATTTGAAGCAGCCATGACGCCTGAGGTTGGGAGATACACCTTCGAAATGTGTGTAAACAAATCGTTATTTTTGCTAATGTGACCGATTTTGAGGATGTGTCTATAAAATTATGGATAATTCGTATTTGTTAAGTGCATAATATCGGTTTTGTACTGATTTTAATGGAGAAACTACTAACTTTTAAAGGTAATGATCCATGTTTTATTATGTAATATATGGCTTTTTCTCCAAAATCAGAGATGAAATCAAAAGAAAAGAAATAGAAACCAAAATGTAATTCATCGTACTCTAATTCACACTATACTAACACCATCACAAAATAAGAATCACAAAAACAAAAATCAAAACACAAAATCCGCAAGATGTCACCCCCACGTCGGCATCTGTCATGGCGTTTTGTTTTTGTGATCGAATTTTGGGAGGCAAGATGTAATTCCTCGATTTAACGGCGAATTTTATGCGGAAGGCGTCATCATGGAGCATTTTAGCGACGACTCTTCGGATCCGGACACTCCCGAGGTGTTCAAGAGTGGTAAGTACGGATCTTGAGTTTGTTTTATAGAGAGAAATGAGCGAGTCTTTGTTGGGCTCAGGATTTTTACTCGACTCTGGTTGTCGTGTAGGCGTGGTCTTTGTAATTGGGCTTTGCAACTCCCTGCAACACGGGATGAGCGGTGTTGTTGTTCTCGGGAGATGTAGGAGAAAGAGCTGTGTCCACGGTAGAAAGGTTGTCATGGGTTATATTGCAGGCGAGAAAGGTACAGCTCCAGGTCGGATCGCTTATGGATGTCTTCTGGTGTAGATATTTCGTTTTGGTTTGTGGGTATTTGACCGGCAAGCTGACCAGCGACCTTAAAAATGGGATTTGTTTCGTGTTAATTATTATCCTATCATAACCTTGATGTCAATAAATCTATTGATCCTTGAGCTTGGTGCATAATGCAATGTCAGCAAGGTACACCCTTTGTAAATGCACTCTTTTGTCCTTTTGGATAATTATTACGAGTAGGATCACTTCCCCCTCTGACTAAACCCTCACTGCTCCAGTCGACAGCCCAACCTATTTGAATAGACCCTTATCCTACACCTACACCTTCACCTAGTTAATGTATCATCCCCCTCCTAATGGAGAAGGTTACCTCCTCCTTCTTAATGGGAACTTGGCTACAGAACATTGATGATGCATCTTTTAATATCTTGCTACAATTTTTCCGTTATTTAAGCATATTATTGTATCAAACAGAGACCCATTTCGGTTACACTGTAAAGTAGTGTTCTTTAAATTTGTCTGCCAGTGTGTTGTCTTGTTGCTCTTGCCGTTACCACGTATTCCATTTATATTAGAAAGTGAGAGGCTCCTAGAATTCTAGAAACAAGATGATATCTGTCTTTTTGAGTGAATTAAATATGTGTATGAATGATGTATGATAACTATACTTTTCTTCTCATGGATTTTTGTTGTTGTTATTTTTTTATTTACTTTTCTTTCAAATTTTATAGGAGAAAGAATATGAAACTCAACTCATGGGTAATTCTCTTATCAATTACCTATATATCTATATCTGTATCTCTCTACCATATTTATATATTAGTCTGTGAAGTTTGAGGGTCAGTTTAAAAAACAAGCAACTGGTAATATTTTAGTGTTACTATCAATAACCATTACATGCTCTGCAACAGCCATGCCATTTATCATGTGATATGCCTAACCCTTGCTTACCCCCTTGAGTAATAAAAAGAGAAAATTGAGAAAATTAAAGCTGAAATGCCAGTTTATTTTTATTTTTTTATTTTTTATTTTTTATTTATTTATTTATTTTTTTTTAAATAAAAGTTACCCTATGCATTCAACAAATTGTCTTGTGCTGCACTTTTACAGGTTTTTGGTAATTTGTTCATGAATGAAAAGTATTTTTTCTAGTAGAAAATAATTACCAATACTATAAGTATAGAGCATATTTGTTATAGAAAGGAATAAGTTTTTAAAGGTAAATATTGAGCACTAGTAGAAAACAGGAGTAATAGAGAATGCTGTGTTCAATTCGTAATGAGTAAAGATAATGAGATCAGCATTAGATTTGGATACTAGCAAAGATTGCAGAACGCACTTGGTGATAAGGTGTGATTAGTGAATTATAAGATTAAGATGGTAATTCTGTCTTTGGAATAACCTACATATACTGTATATTTGCTTTGATACGCACTGAAAGATGGAATGTATTTTACATTTCCAAATTGCTCATATTTTTTCTCTTTCTATCATTTGGAATTTTCACCCAATACCTGTCTTGTTTCTAAGGAAATTTTCTTCTGAAATCAATAGTGGTTCTATATGAAAAGGGAGTTTATCTTATCTCAGGGAAAAGATAAACAACAAGTATTAGTGGTGTCTAATCTGTAGTTGTTGTAGTAGTAGTTTGAAGTGTATTGAATGAACACACACACACACCATTATATAACAATGGAAGGTATTGTGAGCTAGGATTGTTCATTGTCATTCTGTTGTGGAGGATGGTGAAAAGAAGTAAATCAAATATGTTTCGTAGACCATATTTAACACTCAGGTATGTCTATCATCTGCATGAACTTCATACCATAGAAATGAGTAAATGTTTTCAGTGCTGTGAATGAAGTCATAGGGGAAGGAAATGACTCAGTGGTGAATGATGTCTATTGCTGTAATGCAGTTTGGGGAAGTCCAGGGAAGGTGGGAGAATTACCATGCTTCCATTTAGAGATACTGGACCTTATACTTAGTGACAGTTATCAGGTTTGTTCATCTGATCACTGTTAATAACGAGGATGATGGTGATGATGACAATGATAATGATTATGATAACTGTAATAGCTGAGTAAAAATACTAATAATAGTTATTATTATTATTGTTGTTGTTATTATTCATTACTATTGTTATTTTTATTGTATTTATCAATTTATTCGCTCAGTCATTCTTATTCTAATTGTTATTAGTGTGTATGCGTGCATGCATGCGTGCGTGCGTGCGTGCGCGCGAACGAAAAAAAAAGATGGAGAGAGAAGAGAGGGGAGAGAAAGAGAGAGAGGGAGAAAGAGAAAGAAAGAGAGAAAAGGATGGATGCACAGAAGAGCTACTTTAGTAGCCACATTTTTTACGAAAACAATTTATTTTAAATTATGAAGACAGTCCATTTATGTGGAGTTAAAAGTTGGGACAAAAAGCGACTGTCAGACACACTTTCTGATGACACTCTGGCTTTTTGTCGTTACTGAAGCGACGAATCCGCGGCCGCTGAGAGTCGCGGTACACAATGGCGCTGACGATTTTGTCTCTAATGTTTTTTTTTTTTTGGGGGGGGGGGGGGGGACAGAGATGCAGGTGGTGAGGTAGATCGTTGTTGTGTGTGTTTCTAATGAGCTTGGGAGACGAAAAAGTGTGTGTCTGTGTGTGTGTGTGTGTGTGTGTGTGTGTGTGTGTGTGTGTATTGAGAGAGAGAGAGAGAGAGAGAGAGAGAGAGAGAGAGAGAGAGAGAGAGAGAGAGAGAGAGAGAGAGAGAGAGAGAGAGAGAGAGAAGAGAGAGAGAGAGAGAAAGAGAAAGAGAAATTAGAGGGTGTGCAAGAGAGAGAAAGAAAATAAAAACGAAATGAATAAATAAATAAAAAGAAAATGAAAAGCAAGAAAGAAAGAAAAAGAAAGACGGACAGAGCATGGAGCAGAGATGGAGAGAGAGAGAGAGACAGGGCGCGTTGACTCGAATAAACAAACGCGGGCGAGCCGGTTTGAAGGGACGACTCAAATTGAAGTCTCACGCGCCGACGTCGAGTAAAACATGCAGCCAGACAACAGGAGACCCTCTCTTAGGACACGGGCGGGAGGAGAGGGAGCGAGGGACGCAGCAGGCAGACGGAGGCAGACGGAGGCAGACGGCGGGAGAGGGAGGCAGACGGGTCTTTCTGGTCTTGGTTTTGGCGAGAACAGTGGGCTTTCTGTGGGTGCTTTGCGTCGGTTTCACTTACGGGAAAAGGAGGGAGAGGGGAGAGGGAAGGGGAGGGGGAGGGAAGGAGGGAAGGAGGGAGAGGGGAGGTGAAGGGAGAGGGGGGAAAGAAGAGGAGGAGGAGAGAGGGAGGGAGGGAGGGAGGAAAGGAGGAGGGGAGGTGAAGGGAGGAAGGAGGAGGGGAGTGAAGGGAGGGAGGAAAGAAGGAGGAGGAGGGAGGAGGAAAGGAAAGGAGAAGTGGAGGGGAGGGAGAGAATGAGGAAAGAAGGGGAGAAGAATAGAGGGAAGAAAAAGGAGAGATGTACGGATCGAGGGAGACAGAGAGAGGGACAGAAGCTCGGAGGCTTTGGGAATGACATGCTCTGTGATGGTGATGCTGTTTCACGGATAACGAAAGTAAGACCCAACATTAATCCCACAAAAACTAAAAACACACACGTAGGCACGCACTCACGCACGCACATACATGTACCTACATCTCTCTCTCTCTCTCTCTCTCTTTCCTCTCTTCTTCTCTCCTCTTTCTTTCATTCTTCCTTTGATTCCTTCCTTCTTCTCACATTTTTCCTCCATCTATTCTCTCTCTTCTCTCTCTCTCTCTCTCTCATCTCTCTCTCTCTCTCTCTCTCTCTCTCTCTCTCTCTCTCTCTCTCTCTCTCTCTCCTCTCCTCTCTCTCCTCTCTCTCTCTCTCTCTCTCTCTCTCTCTCTCTCTCTCTCTCTCTCTCTCTCTCTCTCTCTCTCTCTCTCTCTCTCTCCTCTCTCTCTCTCTCCTCTCTCTCTCTCTCTCTCTCTCTTTCTCCCTCTCTCTCTTTCTCCCTCTCTCTCTCTCCCTCTCTCTCTCTCTCTCTCTCTCTCTTTTCTCCTCTCTCTCTCTCTCTCTCTCTCTCTCTCTCTCTCTCTCTCTTCTCTCTCTCCCTCCCTCTTTCTCTCCTCTCTCTCTCTCCTCTCTCTTCCTCAGGTTCGCTCCTCCCCATCTCGGCCGCCATCCCACCCGCGGCCGGGAGAACCAAGTTAATGAACCGTGCGTCCAAAATTTCTTGTCGGCGCAGCCCTCGGACGGAGC